ATTAAACAAAATACTAACTTAGGTAAGATCCTAGAATAAATCAGGATTTCTCACGGTAAAGTTAAGATGCAAGTTTTCAAGATTAGTCAATAACAACTACGAAATTTGGAGAAATGGCACAAAGAGATTTTAATCAATATTTCTCACCTGTGACTGCTCAGGCTGCACTTTGAAATACTTTTCTTCTAGTGGCAGTAACACTACTCAGTAGGACATCAAACTATGCCTTCAGTGTATGGCAGGGTGGGCAATTCTGTATAGCGAGAGATGCTTTTTACTCTTACAGAATATCTTACCAAGTGAGATTCACTATTTGATCTTTTCCCTTTTAAAGAAAGACAAGGACACACACTGGACTTCAAATGAGACTTCTCAGAAAGCTGCTGAAGAAAAAGTTACTAGCAATATTTTAGGTAAACCAAGATTCAGATCTATTCACAGTGGGAACCAGTCACATTTATGCTGAAACCGCCTGTGAAGGGGTAAGTCATGCCACTGCTGGTAGAAGCCCCACGAGGAACTTTAAGCTGAACTAAGCAAAGTAACTTAAGGCATGTATGATTTAAGCAAACATGGAGAATTTTGTGTGTACCTACACACAAAACAGCAATGTGCTGTGCTGAGATACTCAAGACAGCCCTGGGATGACAGCTCCGTATCCTTATTTGTTACCCAAGTCGTCTTAGGAAGAACTGCAATGGTCAGATGTGCCACATTCATGCCATAGCCTAGATAAAACAGGTAATTGTACTTGTTCAAGTGGCCTGCATCACTTTTTGTAAAGTAAATTACCTTGACATCATCGTTTTCTAGAATTCAGTGCATCCAAAGTCAAATACATAGAGAGGGATATCAACAGTCCTACGTATCTTTGCAAAAGATCTGTAACAATATTAAATCTCATGAACTACCCATAGATTATTCTTACATACTACTTCTCCTGTAATAAATGCAAGCAACATTCCTGTCGTATGTGGTCACTATAAACCTATACTCCTTGATGTGTAAAAAAAAAAAAAGTTTTTGATTGTAGGCAGAAAAAGAAGTCAAATCTCTTAGAAACCATGAAGCCCATCTTCATTACCACAGGATCAACTCTTCTTCCCATCGAGTCTCAGTTCTGACAGAGTCAGTGTAAAGGCAGTCATTTCGCAGGTAGGCAAGTTACGAGCTGTTCAGAGCTCTACATTATTTGAAAGTGCAAAAATGGAAAAATAACTTAAGTTAGTGGAGATCAGGACTGCAATACGATCCTCCCCCAAAAAAAAGTTTCCAAAAGGACAGCAGTATATTTTACACTAGACTGAGTAACAGCACTGGTAGAAAGCTTTCTCAATGGACAGAAGCAAAGGTAGCCACTGTGAACATATACAGGGAAAAAAAAACAAATACAAGCTACACAGACACATTCTGAATAAGTAACAACTTTATTGTAACTTGATGTGCTGAAATGCAAAAATATTTTCAGCAACAAGGTACAAAAAGTATTTCACCATTAACATCAGCTGATAAAAAAAGGCTGGATGGTTTGATACAACTGTTTACATATCTGAATTCTCTTAATCATTTCCACCCCAAAGCAGGTCTAAGTCATTTCACTGGTTTAATTTCTAAAATAGGACTCATTCATCTTAAGCCTTCAAAAACCAGGTTACAAATACGGTGAAGTTCCTTGCAAAACACTTGAAATAGTGAATTCCCTTTACAAATGTAGTCCATTTACTGTAAGCAGAAGCCAAGGTATGAGACCAAGTCAGTGTCTCGCTAGCTAAGGAGCTAAGCTTTGCACTAGATACACTATCAACACCAGACAGAGAGGACAGTTAACATTCCATTTGTCAATTACAAAAGAAAGAAATCAGTTAAGCTTAGGAATTGTAACCAACTGTAAAATTCAACTAAATTCAACAATACTTCAGGTAGCAATATCTCACATTTGCAATTCACTGTCGTTTATGAAACACAGTTTCAAATACTGCACATCGTTTTATTCTCCCAAGGGAGAAACCTTGCCATCAGGATTTAAAAGGAACATAATCTCCACGTAGGTCTTCTACTGACCTGTGCAAAGGTGAATTTTACATTAAATACTCAATGTTTAGAAAAACATCAGAACTAGAGTAACTTGTAAAACTAGCTTTGTGTCCATGATTATCACATTTTGACATACACTTATCTTGTAACAGCAAATATTTTCACATTTTCACAGAAATATACCATTACTCGACTCATATCTGTAATACTTATTCCACATTTTTTGTGTAGTTTCTACCTCAGTGAAACTGAATTTAGGAAGCAAGAATCAACATGCAACAGAACTCAAATGGGTAATTCGTAATTTTTCCATGTCAATTCTATATCAAATAGCATTCTCCTTCACCTTTAAAAATACCTTTTGAAAAGATCTTGTATCCTGTTAAATCTTCCCTTCATTACAATAGTTTCCTAAAAAGGCACAATGTGTTCGTACTTCTGCATGCAGTAAATGGACTAAAAAATAAGGATTATTTATTGAAGCATCTTCCACCCAAAGTGTCTCCTTAGGAGAGGTTCAGATGGAGAAAAAAAATTATATATAATACATAATAGCATTTTAACAGCAAATTGAGTCCTTATTTTTAGAAAGTCATTCTTGACAAAAAACACCGCACAGTCATACACACACGCGCACGCACACACAGGACACATGCAGGGTTCTCCCCAGAAAAGTACAGAAGCGATGGTTCACATCTATCTGAGGGAGTAGTGTTGGCAAGCCAAAACATGGCACCTTCATACAATATATTCCTAATCTGTATAGAAAACTAAGAAAAACCCCTATGACTTCAGCCTGAAAAAACCTGTCCATTGTCTTAGTCTTATACCTGCTGCACTTAGAACTGACAACCAAGGTTTTGAGGGGCAAGCTCTTGAGATGTGGGGAATAAAAACAAGCTACTGAATCCAAAGGAGAAGGCTGCAATTACCAGCTATTCCGTTCCAGTGAGAACACTGCATGCAGCTCATTAAAGAAGAGGTGAATAATTAGTGCACTCACTTAAGAATGCAGCAACCGTTTTACCTTTTTCTTAAGAGCTGACAAAACTTAAATATACATAATAAATAAAATCAAATCTAAACAGATCAATTATCATGGGGTCTTTTTTTTTCCTGTTAGTGTAACGTATGGTATATACTGCCTGACTTGAAAAGTGGACACTTTACGATGTAGATAATATCACAGCACAGTGTCTGACATTTTTGGTACAAAGTGTGCTATTAAACTTCTAAAAAAAGTCTTCATAAAAGTCCTTAAGCTTTCCATTAAATTACTGTATGTTGTTACTTTAGAACAAGCTGAACTGGACAACCATTACAGCATTAAATATTCAAGTCGCTTTGTCTGTTAGAGCTGCAAGTTTTTACCAGCGATGAGTATGAGGATATATAGTCCTAACACATTACACAGTGCAGCAAAAAACATCACTATTTTGGAGGGAATAATTACCTTTACATCTTATTGTGAAGAATGCTTATGAGACCTTATTTTAGATAAATATTTAAAAATTGATAAAAGGATAAATCTCTGTGTATATATATATAATTTGATGCCTTACGTGCTATTAAAGTTTCTGATTTTACACTTCATCCAAAGACTTAGTTAGAAGGTAAGAAGAAAAATGCATGTTTAGAGGTTATTTCATTCTTCAAAATTGGACTGGGCATTTTTTTCCAATTTACTTTTGCTAGTGGCTTACTAGATGCCAAAGTATAAAACTATATACTCTTTCCTCTAAAAATTTCATTCAGAGCAATTCAGATGAATCTTAATGAAATGAGGATGGAGATAAATTTTAAGATAGTAAACAATCTGAAATTCTTCCTCTCTCCTCCCTGCATAACTTTTTTTTTAATAGGCAAAACTAAAACCCTTATGCAAATATGTTTATAAATTAGGTGATATCTCCTCCCGTTCCCCACTGCTAAACCCAAGTCTTCCCAAAAAAAGAAATATAGCATATTATCACTATTACAGTAAACTCAACGCAATGACTCGGGAAACATTTCGAGTGTGCACTACTGCAGACTTTCCTCCCCATTGTAAACAAAGCTATCAAACACTGAGGATGTTGGTATTAAAGCTAAGGTTCATATAATAAAGAACTGGCCTGTGACAAGCAGTTTACAAACGTTTCATCCTTTTCACATTATGCAGAATTTCAATACCATCCACAATGCTAGTACAATAACTGAAATGCAAGACTGAGCAAGTCTCTGCTTGCAAAAACCATCTGACATTTCAGGGAAATATTCCTCTTGATGTGTACATAACCTCCGCAGGTGTTAATGGAAGCTGTGCACACACGTCAAGATGGGAAAAATCCCTTCAAAAATTTTACCATTCACACGCCTGTTTCAAATAAGCGAAAAATATTCTGTTACTTAAATATGAAAGCTTGCAATAGCCACCTTCAAATGAGTCTTAAAAAGACATGCCTTTCTTTTCTAGCAAAACTAAATCCCATGTGGCTGTGGGCATCTTAAAATGTATCTAAAAAGTTAAGCCACAATTACCTGTACCTCATTAATTCATCAAAAGCAAAATATATATGTACCACACAACATACAAAAGTTACACATTAAAAGTGCATATTCATAATCCATTTGGCCCATTTCTTCAATTTACATTTGGTCATTCTATGCATCCTTTACTTTTCTATGTAACCATACATGTGGGATATATTTTTTTCATACACAATACTATTCTGTTTTCACATTGAACTCCATACCTCTCATTCAGTTCTGCATTAAATGTAAACTAATGATGGACCATACAGAAACACAAGCCAGAGGTTTATTCTGTGTTTCTTTTTACCGTTTGGACAGCTTTGACACACACACAATAAGCATTACAAACTGTAATGAAAATACATTTTTGGGCCAAACCATTGCATATTTGCCCCCACAATGAAAAATAAATTATGTTCAAAGCAGTATATTGCCATAAATAGCCTGTAGGCATTAGCTGAAGGTAAACAGGCTCTCCCTATATTTAGCACTTGTCTAGGGTACATTATGTGCCTCTGGTTCAAGCGCTTTTAATGAGAGACTAGTTAAAACCTTCCAGTCAGCACAGGACCAAACTATAATTTTTTTTTTCTTCTGAAAATAATGGAAGATCCCTTTCAAAAATTAATCTTCAGTTATCAACTTTACTGCATTATGGAGCTAGTGCAATCCTGCAGAGCCTAGTCAAAAAGACAAGGCACATTAAAAAAATAATAATAAAAAAATCAAGATACATTAGACTATATGGACTAGAGAGTCATTGAAGATAATTTAAGGCCTTTCAGTGAATTAATCAGTCTAATTTAAAGCTGAGGATTAAACCATAAATTATCCATCTGAAAAGCAAACAATAGGCTTTTTCAGCTTCTGTTCTGTGGACAAGGATAACAAAAACTCTTGTTATGGTTTGTGAAAACACCTCTGGACATGGAGGAGTAGAGTCAGTTCAATTTCTCTAAAGTTCATGGAAGATTTCATGACTGTTTTAGCCGTTTGCGTGGAATGCCAAACTGTGGACACTGTGCAGATGCTAGTGCGCGAAAGGCCTCTGCTACTAAGTGAGGGTGGGAGTGGATCATGGACTTCCAGCCTGCTGTTTCCATTATGTCTGTTGCTTGGCTGAAAACAGAAGCATTAAGAATAGTCAATTTTACAAACCAAATGCACAGTGGAGAAGAGCAGGCAAGGCAGAACTACAGCAGAAGAGCATTTCAGCATTATGAATCAAAAGACTTCATTAATGCCAGTAAGGATGCCATTGGAAAGAAGCAGCAAATTGCAATTTAGGTATATAAATATCATCACATGTAGGACATGGGGTACTCATTTTGCTCTACCCAGTACCAGCAAGACCCCAGCTAGAGAGCTGCATACAATACTGGGCACCGTGTTAAGATAACCATCTGGAAATTTCTCAGGAAAAACAATAAAAAATGGTTAAGAGCAAAACTAGAAGAAAATGAGGTCTCATGTAGAGAAGAAAAGCAAGGGAAGACATGATAATCTCATTACACAGAATGGCTTGCTCAGTTTGGGGAAAGAGAAGGATGACAAGATGAATCAGCTGAAACTTCAGCAAAAATGATGTAGTTCATATAACAGAAAAAGCCAAGAAGCCAGATTAGCTGGCTGACTACAGAATCCTTCACTGGGAGCTCACAGTTGGAATACCAGTGGAGCAGACTTGAGAATATTCACTCTTTCTTCAGTACAAGACCATGGACTACATTCAGAATAGTTTTCAGTGCCCACTGTTGATTTTTAACTAATACAGAAGCAACAACAGATTTTAGCAAGTATCACATTGACATCCAGGAGATTAAAAACAATGTATTTACTCCATGTATATATGTACTTTTTTTTTAAATAAGAGAACAAAACCAAAATTCACTATGCACATGAGGAATGTTACACTGGTTGGGATGCGTGACACAGTAACACAGGATAAATTTGTAATTTGGAACCCACACCTTATGCATCAATTCCAACTTCCCATCGCCCTGTATTTCAAAATGCCTTTCATGAGCATCCTCATACTGTTTCAAGAACACTGTCAAACAAAGTTTGCAGCTGACCTCTACATTACATTACAATCTCTAAAAACCTTTCACAGATTTCTAATGCAAGCCTTTAATCTTCTGCAGCAGGTCAGTAAATCTAAGTGCCTTGAGAAACAATACCAAAGTTCAGACTCCCTGGTGCCCAGAATCAGAAGAACAAGCCAGGCCCTCTCACATTAATTCCTTGATTTATACTGTAGATGCTTTAGCTGAAGCAAAGATGACCAGCATCTTTACTAGCAATTATCATCTTTACTAGCAATTATCCAAGACAGAAGCCAGCTCAGTAAGTTCCAACTCACTTGAGAAAGAACACATGAACTAGTTTACACTGTTATGTATTCTGACCTTATCTTTATTAGCTTTTCTATGGGTATTTTACTACTTCCCTTCTACCACCCCCTTTCTTTTTCACATTATGCTCAATCATTAGGCCTATGAAGACTTTTTTTAAAAAAGAAACACTCTAATTTTAAAGTAACTGGTACAACATCTATTAACTTCTCTGGAGACTGTGATGGCAAGAAATAAGTACTCTGCTGTCCTTTTACTGTTTCAGCCTACAACTGGCTATTCTTTCACTGACTGTCTTGTACTCCATGATTCACCTGAGCTGTTCTAAGTACATGCTGCAATCAGTCCCAACAGTCTGAACCACATATTTTCAACCTATTTCCACTGTAGGCATGAGCACACAGAGTCAGACAGATCAGAGGGACCTGACTGACTAGTTGTGTGGCCTCAAGAGTACTAGAGCTGGCATGTGGGAAGGTGCAGAAACACGTCGCCAAAGGCGAAAAGAGCAACTGCCCTCCTTTCTTTGGAAATACTGCAGGTTCAGGCAATACTACAGGCTCAGACTGACCTAAGCAAGTCTTGGAACCACACTGGGGTTGCCACTCCTCCAGGCACAAACCTGGTTAGTCAAGAGATTATTTTCCTTTCTCTTGTGGTGGTTGCTGCCACCATCTCACAGCACTGACACGCCCCTAGGAAGGGAATGAAAACCAGGTACTGTTAGAGTGTCACACCGGAGGGCAGTTAACTCTCCCTGTCATTTAGAGGGGAAGTGACAATTATAACTGGGGTAGTGTCTGCTGAATCCTGCTTTACTTACAGTCAGTGATTGGCTTTAGTAGTGTGGAAACGAAGCAACATTTCTTAAGATCTGCAGCCTATTCAGCAGTATTTGTACAGAACATTGAGGCAGGGAAACTTACTTGCTATTCCAGTTTTTCCCATCTTTACACCCAAGTTGTCTAAGAACGCTGCACCTGTAAAGAGAGAACTGTGCCAATATTGAAAAGGTACACAAAGTATAAAGACAAATATATTTAGAGTCTCATAAATATTACTTGCCTGTTAATAAAGTCTATTGCTTGTGCTTTTAACTGTTCAGCACTGTGCAAATCTGCGAGGATAAGAATATCAGCAACATTTTCTACCGAGAGGCTACTACAGAGTGCTTCCTCACACATGACCTTCAGCCGTTCCAGTGCATACTGACAAAAGAAAAAACTACACTAATCATTCTTCAAACTCATTCTTTCTACTGTTATCTCTACAGTTTTTAAGACAGTTCCAGTCATGAAAATTATTGGTGACTCCCAAGCTTAAGATCAAACTGCTTCCAAACAGGCAATTCAAAATTCAATACGCTGCACTGAAGAGTCCTCAAATGGCAAGACATGCATTAGGTTTGACACAAACTGATCAAATGCTTTACTGGGAGAACTTTTATTGAAACAACAAAAATAACTCATTTAGAAGTTTTTGTTTTCCTTCAGTTTGGTAAGTGAGGAAGGGCAAAGAACAGACATGGGCTCTTTATCAAAATCATCATTAGACAGGCTTACCTATCAAAGTGAAGGGCAACAAATTATACAACGGAAAGTTTCATGAAACTGTCCAAGGGCAAATACATTAGCCTGTTTGAAACTAGCTTGTTCCAAGTTCACTCCCACCCCCATCTCTGAATTACTTAGTTTCTTCAGTACCTTTGACAAAGCCTACCAAAAAAATGATATAAAATAATTATATTCTCGTACTATATTTTGCATGAATAAATTGCATTTTTTTGAAGGATGCCACAGTCTGAACAGGTGTCATTCAGCAGTATACATTTCTACTGAAATCATACCCATCCCATTTAGTTTAGCACCCTTCCAATACAGTTTTCAAGTCTGAAAAGAATTTTAGATACCTAAATGGCATATACTCAAGTTGCCACTCATACATTTGTTTCAGCAACTGTTCTATGCAACAAAGAAATGCCACTGAAGAAAAGTCAAATTATTGGGCTGACTTCTATGTTTCTAGACCTATGCATTTTTACTTCCATTTCATTACTATACTACTAGTGAGGATACCTCTATTTAAGGTAAATAAATATCAAGTATAACAAATCTGTACCTACCAGGTACTACAGCAATTTAATGCCTTTGGTAATATGCACAACACTCATTTTTTGGATTATTTCACATTCAGAAGGAATAGCAGAAAGTTTCTACAAGTTTATCTGTTACAAAAAACTATAGGGACCTCCTAGCTCATAATTTTTATTTTCTACTTTTGCATATAACTGGACCGTACAATATTCTCTACATTTATCAATTATGACCTAAATAAAGGCCAGCATTCATAAAATAACACCATTTCACCATCCCGCTTGGGTTGACTGAAACTTGACAAAACACAATCAGTTTTGGAAGATGAGATGCTGGCAATGAGATGTAAAGAAGAGTAAGAGTAGTAAGGCACCAAAGCCAGGGCAGTGCCAGCTCAAGAGATCCTGAAAAAATAGAACACTTCAAGTTGCCAGGAAAATATTGTTTATTGACGTTAGCTACTGGGATGACTTACATTATCATGATAGGACTGATTATGAGAACAGGAAGTTTCACCACTAGTGTTTTCCAGATATGACTGCACAACCAATTCAGAAATTGCAAAGGTAGCTTAAGAAATTGCCATACTCTCAGCTGAGAGTGAAAGTTTCATATTACACACACTAAAGTGAGTATTTTCCGAGTTCTAAACTACTTATGCCTCCTCAGGGAAAGACAAATGTGTGTCTCTGACAATAGCTAAATAAAATTTCAACTCAAGCTATAAAGCAGTGAAGAACAAACAGGGCATTGGGACAAGTATTTTAAAAGTTAGAAAACTGTAAATTATTATATGAAAGGGAATAATTCACCTTAATTCAGGCGCTGTTGTAATTCCCCTGATCTCAAAAATCATAGTAGAAAAAGTATTTCACAGAGTGACAATTTAAAGAGAATACAGGATGCCAATACAGAAAAGATTAATGATTAGAACTATTAAGTTTGTAGGGAAGACAAAAAGATGAAAGTTCTGAAGTAGCAGTACTTTGGGGAACACAGTTAATTCAAACACTTGTATAAATCCTCTTCAAGAATACAAAGATCTAGGATACATTTTATTCAAGACCCATTTTCCAAATCATATTAATGGTCCCCAATTTCTAAAACAATCTCGACAATAAAGATAATTAATATGTGAAACACTTCTGGTCAAGAAAGATTTATCAACCTTCTACTGATAAAAGAGTCTATTTTTTCCCATCTTTCTCCATTTCTGATGAGATCTGCTTCGCATATTTAAAAAAAAATCAACCTGAAAAAATGTATTTTTTTTTTTTATAAGAACATTCCACAAGCAAGCATAAGGTTTGAGAACTTGGGAGTCAATTACTTACTTTGTCTGCAGCTGCCAACAAATTGTCAGCCATTTTTTCAAGGTTTGGTGCTTTTCCTGTGTAAATGAATCTCATCATTTCTTTAAAAACTTCAGGGTCTACATCATGTATTTCTACACGATTCTGGTAAAGAAGAAGAATCAATAAAAGCCTCTGGAATTTAGCTACAACTTTAAAGTGAATATATCAAATATCATCTGCATGCACACTACAAGTTTTCATTTGCCATTCATCATACAAAATTCTTACAAATTTAAGTTAACATTCAGCAATATTAAGCAGAAAGTAATCAAAATCAGTGGCTCTTAAAGTCAGGTAGAAATCAGTTGGAAAAGCTTAGGCAACAAAAAGTAACTGCAACTTTTTTCTAGAAATGTCTAACTGGACTCTATTGCACAGGCTGTACATAAAAATCAAGGCACAGTTGCAGGAATATTTAAAAGTTCTGTGAAGTTTCCAACCCAACAATGATGTGCTTGGAATATCAGAAGTCAGAGCAGCAGACAGAACAAAGTGAGCCATTTCTTACTTGACTTAAACTGAGTCAACACAACCTATGTTTTGATCTCAGAATCCAAAACACAAATAAAGCAGCACATGTAACTGACATCATGTAGCTGAACACCATCCTAATAAAACTGTGGTATTGCATTCTTGACCCCATCTTCTAATAATATCCCCTATAAGCAAATAACGAAGTAGGAAATCATGTCAAAGATGTAGAAGAAAGCACCAGACTTTTGAATGGCGTACACAAATCACAGGCTATCAGCACGAGATGCATGTGTTCTGGTTTCCTATCCATTGAACCATATACAGTATTTAGGAGTAGGGCTGCACTGGAGATTTACTGCTAACATGAAGGTGAAGGATCTCAGCATGGCACACTAATGAAGCTGGACTGGAAGAAACCCAGACATGTCCCAGAAATCCCACTAAAATCCTTCCAATATTCCAATTCTTCCTATGAAAGTTTCCAGATTGGAGAAATACAGGAAAAAAATGCCACGTTTGTGAAACTCAATTGTACTACAACACCATATTCCTCTGATGTATTTGGTCACACAAGTGGCACTATTGCAGCCTCCAAGACTAAATGATGATCATCTATTATGATCCTTTAGTGAGCGGATCAGTTTCTTGCCTTTTCATGCATTCTGCCTACAGCCAACCCATTTTAGACATCATTCATGAAAGACACAAACAGCTCCTCACTGTGGGAGATAGCAAGTGCATAAAAGCAGAAGCAGCTCTCTGCTGATTAAGTAACTATCCATCCAAAACACCCATACAGGTCAAGTGCCTGCAGAAACTGTGAATGGAAAGGAGTGCTTCACTACCTCAAGGCTTCACTTGATTCATAATTCACCTGTTGTTTGTGTCCTAGCTACCATATAAAAATGTTTTCATACACTATAGCAAAACCTCAGTCCAGACAATTGGCTTATGTGAAGGTATAAACCAAAGCAAAAAGGGGCAGAGATTACTAGTCAATTAAATCAGCAGCTAATGTTAAAAAACCGATCTAGGGCAGATACAAGTACTAGAAGAACAAACCCTCCAGAACCTCTCCAGAGTCGGCCCTCCCTACTCTTTCTACACAAAGAAACTCCCACAGAGCTCACCAGGGAAGCATTCAGGAGTAGTACCTCCTCCCCTCATGCAGTAGTCGTCTTCCTCAATTTGCAACACTTCAAGTTTTCTGCAACTTTTCCCTTTATTCACAAGGTACAAATATTTACATGTAAGGTTTTCAGTAAGACTTACCTTTTTGCTTTCCTCCATTTCATGTTCAAACATTGCATTAAAAACTGGAGATCGTGCTGTAGCAAGAAAAGTAGATCTTAAATATAATCAAATTTTAAACTTTTAGAAATTTTAATTACAAAATAATAGCAATACAAAAGTAGAAAAGTACCTGCAAGGACAGATTTATGAGCTTTGAATTCTTGTCCTCCTACATAAAAACTGCAATCTGTAAATCTTGTTGTTTCCCAGAGATTCCCTAAATCTTCTGCTAGTCGACATTCAGGTACCTTCAAAGTGTTTGTATTAGACTGTCCTGATATATTTACAGAGTCTTGGACCACGCTTACCTAACAGAAAATCACAGCAAGACAACTCCTTCATAACTGAATGCCAATAATAATTAAAATACATTATCTACTGATAGAAGTACAGCAATTGCAAAACAAAAACCAGTGCTGTTTCTGGCATTAGGCCAGAACAATAAACTAATGCTTTACAGTTACATAAGTAACATAAAACAAATGGGGCTTTAGTTAGAAACTCTATCATCATGTATCTATCCAACCAAAACAAAAAGAAAGAGCACAATACCACATGCCATCTCATAGAAATGCCAAAGTAAATAACTCAAGGACAGATATGGTTCTTGGGATACCAGTGGGATAAAAAATAAAAGTTAATGATATTTGAGAGAGAAATTAACAATTCAACACTCTTCACTTTTAAGTAAAATACTAAACAGATAAAATACTAAAATTCTAAAGAGATCATCAGGATCCCAAGGTCACAGAGAAGTTTTATAAAAATAACCCACACACATTTTGAATAGCATGACATTCCTAATTTTCATTACAGTAAGCTGACACCTAACCTGCAATGGGGTAATGCAAACTAAGTGCAAGTAACATAGCTCCTTCATTATTTCATTTTACTGTGTCCAGCTGAGGCAGGAATCATGAGTAATTGTCTTTCAACAAGATTACACACCATTATTTTAGAAATGTAAGTCAAAGAAATACAAGATGCAGCAGGTAAGTAACTTCAATAATGAAATGCAAGCCCACAGGATGTGATTTTTTACAGACTAGTTAAGAAAATTGTGAAATATGTGCATCTGAAGTGAATATATTGACATTATTCTCCAAGTTTAAGTCTTTCAAGTAAGTAGTAAACAGCATAGTGGCATTTTTACTTGCTTTTTTCATGTAACTTTACATACTGAAGGCCTTTTAATCAGTATGTTGGGAAAACAAAAGAGCTCAGCTGGTTTTACTTCTGTTGTCTGAGAAGAAAACCTTCATAAAGAAGAAAAGAGACATACTACAAGACCTTGACTGCTTCATCTCCTAAATAGAGAAAATTAGGATTATATATTAAGAGAAAATGCTGATACTGTTAAGATTAGTGCTTTGTTTGATTTCCAGGGGCACAGCATCTGCAATAAATCCGGCATAAAGCAAAGATAGCACAGCTAAGCTTCACATAAAGTTGAACCACTACAAACCAAACTCCAGACCAGGAGAAGAAGATGATCCAATTAAGACAGTGGCTCAGGATTTGCATCATTGCCTAATTCCCTGTTTTATCCCATACCACCTTGTGATAAGAAATTCCTTTATATTCTTCCACCTTTTAAAGGTAAAAAAAATATCCCAAAGCACTGTGAAATTTCACTTTCACAGTAAGACTATAAATTTATAACACTGAAAAAAAATCTATAGAGCTATTGTGCACTCTGTTTCACTGTTTTCATACACACAGAGTGATTTCAGGAGATATACATACACACCAATGGGAGTTTTAGCTTAGCAAGGCTTGTATTCTGTTGCCAAAGGAGAGTTCTGCTTCTCCAGAGACTTGACTCAGTTCATGATCCAAGTTGTCCGCATAGCACCCTCTTGTTAGCTACAGACAGTGCCCAGGAAGGTCACCTACATGTTCTTTATGTGTACTTAAACTGATCTCTGATGTTCCAAGCTTCTACTATTTTAGAATGGTTTCTAATATTGATAGTTGTGCAACACAATTTGCTAGGAGCCATCTTTCTAAGATATAACCCAAGGCCAATTTTAATCCAAGTCCCCTACATCTGAATGGCCTGGCATGTATTGTCTGTAGGTTGTCATGACTTTTAAACATCCCAAATACAAACACAGGGGTCTGATATTTCATATCTCGCTTGTCAAGATGGTGTGCTTAAAATCAATTGCATTCTCTTTTTCTTAATTTAAATCAAGTTGAAATCTAATCAAGTTAATTCCATATAACTACTGAAAGCTCATTTTAGGCTAAAAGTGACTGGTTTATGATTGCCCCAATACCTGATACCAAATGCTTACTTCAGGCATTGTTGTGTTTATAAAATCACTCGTGAGAGTGAAGGTATTTCTTCACTAAACTGCAGGATGACGAGGAGATCCTAGAATAACTAATAACTCAAAGAATACGAGCAATCTAGTGAGGACACATACTTTAGAGGCACAGGCCCTGTTTGCATTGCATCCCCTCATGAGTAAGGGTATATAAAAATATGTACACTGGGACTTGAACAAGTTCTGTGTGTGACAACTTCAGACTTGTCTATAGAAACAGGTACTTCAAACAACAGCTTTTATTTCTAAGAACATCTGAAGAGATAGAAAAACACATTTGAATAAACAAATTTTTAAAATATTTGGATTTCCAGTGTTTTTGCTTTAGCTTGAAACAAAGCAGAAGTCATTTTAACATGCTCACTGTGCACAACTAAATGTTGAACTTCCTTCAGCATCTAGAATCAGGGTAGGTCAAACACTTCACAAAAGCCACCCACATTAAAATATTGAGAAGTTCTGTACGAAAAATACAGTTATACTTAAAGATTAGCAAACTTTAAATCCTTCTGGAAGATTCAGTACTCATTCAAATTTTTTTTAAACAAACTTTATCTCTAAAATTAGATAATGACCTATTTACAAAACCAAACACTCTCTTTAAGAGCTGTTCATTTACATCAAAGTATTCATTAAAAGGAAAACTTAAAATGAGAAAATACTCAGAAGTATCTTTACAGAACCATAAAACACTTATTATATCTGCTTTTATCACCCAAATAATTGTATTCATAACAAATTTATCATGCAGCTAATTTAACTTGTCTAAATGAAAATAAGATGCACCATATTTGCAATATCTAGTCTCAAGGGCCACATTTCAATTATTCTTCCTACATAGCATAATGACATGTAATTAAATTGTAATCTTGCCAAGGCAATTTTACACATTTCCTGTAAATACACAGATCAAAGCAAACTTATTAGTAGTTAGAGCATCTATCATCCTCCTCAGCCACTAATCACTTTATGGCAGCAGAGATAACTGGCCAATGTATATTGAACATACACTGTACTTAAATGACAACTTTCACTAGTTTCCTTTTTTAACATTGAGTAAATGTTCTACTGAATTTTAATATGACAATTTAGGTTACCAACAAAACTGATATCAAAGTGACCCATAAATACACCATGAAGTTAGATACTTAAATGGCAACTTTCTCTAGTTTCCTTTTTTGAGTAAATGTTCTACTGAATTTTTATATGACAATTTAGGTTACCAACAAAACTGATATCAAAGTGACCCATAAATACACCATGAAGTTAGATTTATACCACAGCTCCCATTAATTCTCAGTATTAAGTGGTCCTTTTACCGGATACTCACACTTCTTCAGAAAACAAAATGTAACAATTACTATAAAAATAAAGTGTCTAATTTACTTGAAAGACCTGTTCATTGGTTAAAGCCACCAATTATGATATTACAGGAATACAGGTTCTGACAATTAGTTGGGTTTTTTTTTCAGCAATGTCAACCAGCATGCAGACATTTCCTTTTACTTATCCAGTGAAAAACAACCCTATAATTCCAAATATATTTTCTTTAAACAAAAGTGACCTCAGTAAAATACTACTTCTACAGACAGCACCTATCAGCCACCTTTTGCATAAATAATTCTATACCGGATTGTAACATAATCCTGGCGGATTCAGAGAGAAGACCAACAGTTTACAAGGGATCAATTCAGACTTATTCTGTATTTCTGTGTGCATATATAAAAAATATAACACAGACAAAGCAAGTAAATGTGTATCTTACCATACTTATAGTTAACAGAAGACAACTTTTATAGCATATTTTATTTAAAAGCTTACCAGTTAAAAAACTATACCCACCTCACAAAATAACGTAAGCTTGTCATCTGGTAGAAGACCATTAGCTTCATCTAGTAAAAAATCTCTTCGGATAAATTTCTTAAAACCCCAGTCCTTGCCTTGCACAAATCGATACGCTCTTTGGCTTTCTGATAAAAACAGTTATGTACAAATAAAGCAAGTTCAATAAAAATATTCAC